GGTAATGTTTATGGTGAGTATTAGTAAGAGGTAATGATAGTATACAACAGTAATGTGATTTATATATATATATATATATATATATATATATATATATATATATAAACATATAAACATATAATATTAGGCAGCATATATTTTATATATAAAGATATAATCATTGCTTATTGATTCTATATATGATTATTTCTTTATATATATATATATATATATATATATATATATATATATATATATATATATATATGACAAAATGACTGCAGTGAAATATCCAAAGAAAGTATATAAGATGGCATTTTCACAAACCAGTTGGATACATAAATATTTTAAAAAATTTTTTCTTTCATTCTGTTATAGCATTTTCATAACAACTGGAAAAAATTGAAGGAAAAAAATTGTTGCCATGGCAACTCTGTTACTTAGAAATGCTTTTGTTAAATTGAAAAAGAAAGGAACAGTTATTAAAATTTAAGAAATAAATATTTGTGAACAAATTAATGAGATTTGTACATGGGAAATATGTTAAAATAAAATGTAAATGTGGTGATATGAGAAAATTAAAAAAGTTATCAGGAAAAATTAAAATGTATATACATAAGATAATATAGTGAATACTTATTTAAAGTATAATTTATGATAATATTATTTGGTGATGAGGAAAATATAGAATATATTTAAAATTATTTTTAGTTGATACACATGTTTGAATAGCTATCCCTATTTAAGAAAATAAAAAATAGGGATAACAACTTAAAAATGTTTACCTACTAAAAATAATGTTTATAGTAATAATAAATAACAAATGCCTTGCTGTTTCTTGCATTCCAGCTTGTTGGAAGTCCTCCTCTATAGTTGCTGTTTTTATGAACTATGGGGAACCCTTTGGCTTCTCAAATTATTGCCCTATTAGTTTCTTACCTATTTCCGGCAAAGTACTCAAGGCTCTAATCACTGCTGAATTTTTTAAGCATCTTACTTCACATGACCTCCTTTTGAAAAAACAATATGGATTCTGTTTTGCCAGGTTTACCACTGATGTGTTAATGGCCATCACTGAATTTGTCTATCAAGCTTTAGATAAGAATGGCAAAGCTTTATCTTTGGACTTACACTGTTTTTGATCTTCATCAATGATGTTCTTGATGCCAACAAGGTATTTATCTAGATGACACAACCATTTACTCCTAAGTGACAAGTTTGACAGATCTGACAAAGTAAACCTAGCAATTGCTTTTGAAAAGGACCTCCAACCAATGGTTGGCTAGGGCAAGAAATAACTTGTGAATGTTAATGCCTCAAAATCAAAACTGCTTTCATTTAATCACCAAAGAGAACTTTTTCTGCTTGTTGTCAGCATGGCTGAAACTAAACTTCAGGAGAGCAACATTTTGTGTCTTCTTGGGTTCACATTTTCCCCTGACATGAAGTGGAATGACTAAATTGAATCAATTGCTATGTCTAATGTTAGGAAAGTTGGTTCACTGTACCTAAAAAATTTTAATGTCAGAATCCAACTTGCACATTTATAAATCTACTGTCTGTGCATTGAATATTGCTGCAATATCTGGCCTTCTGTTCCTGCTGCATATCTGGAGATTCTTGACAAAATTCAAAAGGTCTTTAATGTAATTGACGCTGATCAGGCATCTTAACTTTATTTACTTTCTCACCGATGTGATGTAGCTTCCCTCTATCATTAATACAAATATTTTCATGGCAAATGATCTGCTGAGTTTTTTCTCTAGTGCCTTGACTATATGGATTTAAGCATGCTACAAGATTGGTAACTAAGTCTCACTATTTTACTGTTGAAATACCTAGATGAAACTGCCAGTTCTATTCTATTCTAAAAAATTTCTATTCTCATACTTCCCACTTTTGGAACTCTGTCACCGTTTCTTGTTTCCCTGCATCCTACAATCTTCAAAAATTTGAAATGCAATGTCACTCTCCATCTTCTATCTTCCTGAATCTTGTCCTTTTATTGTCTTTTCCTCACTTACCCTCACTAAGGTCTCATTCTCTTTCAATCCCTGTAATGTCCTAGTGACATTATCATATTGCTTGATGTGAATATATTATCATATTGCTTGATGTGAATATATATATATATATATACATATATATATATATATATATATATATATATATATATATAATGAAGTCTGTTGATGATATGCACCACCAAATGTGAAGAATATATATGAGAAATGAGAAATGAAGATATCATTGATTGATAACATTATATTGATATCGAAGACTAAACTGAGATGTACATTGCCATCCACATGTTGGACACTGAATGCCAACACCTGGTGGATTGGTCAGGTTATCAGGTTGCCCAAAGATCATCTCCTAAACTTGATCCCATATGAAGAACACTTCGAAGGCCAGTGGTATGTTGGAGGACAGAAAAAAACTTTCCAAAACCCAGTAGGGTATTAATGCTGCAGAACTGTAAGTTAGAGTAGCCAATTGCAACAGCAGGAGGACACTATGCAGTCAGGACATTGAAATATTTGAAAGTAGCTGAATTCAATATATATATATATATATATATATATATATATATATATATATATATATAATGAATGCAATAGTAGTTGATAAGATCAAACTGTAGTCATACTGGTAAGAAAAAGCGCTCAGTACTAAACACACACACACACACACACACACACACACACACACACACACACACACACATGTGAATTACTGATACCACATGAAGAGTGGAAGGATATGTCCGCCTATGAAACTCTGGAGTCGAGATGCTGAAGGTAACATCAGTCAGCTAAGTGACTAACTGTATAGACATGATCTCAGTCCACACTGGGGTTGATAAGATAGATGGTTGATATCTTTGTCTGCCAAAATAGGCTATTCCCCATATGAGGTAATTTTGGATTTATTGTTCATTATATATATATATATATATATATATATATATATGTATTGTTAGGTGGCCTTGTATGCCTATCTACTAGGGTGGTTAACCAATCCCTGTTGCAGATGTCTTGCTCAGGCACACTTGTGTTTATTCAACACCTACAGAGCCAACCTCTGGTTTATACTGTAACTATGCTGAGTAGACCTTAGTTTCAGTTTCTGGGAGAGAGTGCCTTATCTGGCATGACCAACAGTCTGAACAAGTCCTGTACGCTCAAACTCTCGGTCACTATGACTTGAAACTTCATGCTAGTACAACTATCAATGACTCTCAAATAGTTTTATTTACACACTTCAACTTGTAATACTTGGATCAAGCTGTGTATGTTTTTTTCCAAAAAGTGTCATATGCTGGAATCACATACCCAAGTCAGTAACATCAAGAAGTCACCTTCCTAACAAATTGACTATTTGATTTTGATGATATTTATCTATTCAATTAGTTTTAGTGAAACATTTTATTGTCAAAATTGATAAAAACATAAGAAAGATCCAATATTATTTTGTTCCTACAATTAGTTGTATATTTGGTATAATCATTTGGGCACTACTTAAGCAGACTAGTACACTTGTAAAGCATTCTTTAGAATTTTCTGAAGCTGTGACACTTGTCAGAATAAAAAAAATATTAATTTTAATCATTTTAGAAGGGAGGTCATTTTCATAATATCCATATAGTGTAAAATTGATCTTTGGCTTTTTACAGAGTTATCAGATTCTCACTGTTTGTTTACAAAAGTCAGTTTGAAAATCTACTTATACCATTGATATCTGTATAGTATGAAAAAAGATATCAATGATGTAAATGTTTTATAGCACTACTTAAATAGGTTCACTTATAAAAAATAGGGAACATTATTTTTTTAGAAATAATTTTTGTAGATTAGCATTTTTTAGAACTTCCTTAAGCTGTGGCACTTGTCAATATAAAAAAAATTGATTTTTATCGATTTAAAAGTAAGGTCCTGCTGATAATATTGATATGTTGTTAAATCACTCCCTGATATTTAAAAGGTGATCTGAATGTAGCTGTTTGTTTACAAATGTCAAGTTTGAAACTGTGCCTACAACATTGATATCTCCATATGAAAGCAGACTTTTTTTTTTTTTTTTACAAACGTTTTCTTTTAAATAAAAGACAAATGAGACATTTTTATGCATTTTATCTTAAGAAAATATTTTAAACAGGCCATTGTTTGGTGAAATAGATTTATTTTTTCATTTTTTCACAAAAAAGATTTTTTGTCATTAAAGAACCAACAGATGTAAACATTTTTAAAGTGGAGCTATATTTTAAATTAAAAACAAAAATATATGTAAATTAACAAAAATATGCAGATATCAATGACATAAGCATATTTTCAAGGCACAACATTCATAGATAAAAAAAAAAAATAAGTGCAGAAAACTCTGTAAAAGTCAGGAATCAACTTGACACTGTATTGATATGAACAGGGTCCCATTCTAAATTGATAAAAAAAAATTTGATATTTTTTAATCTGACAAATGTTGTGACTTGGGGAAAGTTTTTCAGAATGCTAATCTACAAAAATTATTCCCTTAGAAATTTTTTTCTATTTTTTTATGAGTGGACCAGTCTACTTAAGTAGTTCCAGCAATTCGACCTCCCTATTTCCAGCGAAAACATTAATTTGGTTGTAAATTAGATCATAGCAAGAGGTAAAATGGAGTCGTTCTTTTACTGTTGTAATGCTCAACAGAAGTTTTATATGAACTTATTTTACAAATTAAACATTCATTTATTTTGAAATCATGACCAAAATCAAAGGCTACTCAAAGAACCTGAAAAAGAAATTAATTGAAATTTATCAATCCAGGGAAGACTATGAGAAAATTTCTAAATGGTTTGACATACCCTGTTCCACTGTTTTTTCCATCATTCATGAATGGAAATAAATTGGTACAGTATCAATGCTTGTAAGATTGGTTTGTCCAAATAAGATTTTAAAATCTCAACAGATCTGAAGAACACTGGAACAGATGTACACGTCTCAACAATTTGCAGAACATTGAACCAACAAGGATTTCACGGATGGGTTGCACGAAAAAGCCACTAAAGAAAACACATAAAAAGGTTTGTTTAGCACTCGTTAAAAAGTTTTGTTTTCGGATTAGTTGAATGATTACTGGAATATAGTTACTTGGTCAGTAGAAACAGACATTAAACCTTTTGGTTATAACCAGCAATGTTACATTTGAAGAAAAAAATGAACCACATTTTAAGAGCTTGCTTTAGCACAGCTTTTTGAGGAAAATAAATTTCTTAAGATATCAATTTGCTATTGTCAAAAATCTTTTACCCTCAGCTACCCAGTTTAGATTTAGAGGGTAATTGATATTTCAAGAAAATTACCCAAAATATACATAAAAAACTACTTACTACTGCTGCCATATATGGGCAGGTGCTGCCCAGTTCTCCTGAAGTGTCCCCATGTCCTTGTAGGTGACAAATTGCTTTCCACTTTACAACCCCTCTATCACAGACAAAAAGTCACAAGCCTCTCACTGATCTGTCACTATTTCCAGAGAAAGTGTCCTCACAAACTACATTCTTTAGTTTCACTAATTCTAACCTTCACAGCTAAGACCTGCTATGTAATGCACATTGTAGCAATCCACCCTCATTCCCTTTGTATTCTATTTTATAGTTGTAGAACTTGCAAGGAACTTATTCAATTATTAATTTAAGAATTAAGATTCATCAGAAAATTCACATAGAAATAGTGAACACTTTACATTATTCAGACTATTGTCCTCATTTTTGTCGCCATATTTATTACTACGTTTTGGCTGTTGTATAGTCCGGCCTCCTCAAGGACACATGGCACAGTGGATAAAGGCATTGGTTAGATCCAGTGACAAGAACCAAAGAATGTGAGTTAATACTTGGTTAAGGCAGTGGAGAACTTGGAGAGGGAATTAATAGGAGATAACTGATTTCTGACATCCATCAAACATGGCAACGCGGGAACTAGAACATCTACCCTAGTGAGCGAAATAAAGGGTTCAGTTCGACATTTGAATCACCCGAAGAAGGCCAAAAGGTAGTAACAAATATGGCGACAAAGATGAGGACAATAGTCCGAATAATGTAAATAGTGTACATAATACCTCATCTCAGAAATCTAACCAGTTTTAGATCTTATAAATGATCAGTTCTGAAGTAAAGGAAGTAACTCTGGTTCTGAAGTGTGTTAATTAAAATTGAAAATTATACAATATAAACACTTATGGTATATGGTTTCAATTACCTACTTCAGAGGGAAGATACAACTTCATGGCAGAATTCTACAAGTATTGTCGAAGAAAACTTTATATCTATATATAACATATATATAATTCTTCAAATAATATAATTCACATAATGTAATTCTATATAATATTTATATAATATAATTCTCTTTATAATTCTGTTCACTTCACACACACACACACACACATATATATAATATTCACGGGTATAGTATATTCTATATAATTCTATTCACATAATATGATAATGGTAATATTAGATATTTCCTTATAAGGAAATATTTGGCTATGATTACACATATGCTAGGCCACAAATATCTCCTAAACTGACCAAGCATAGAAATGAATACAATATTGGAACCAGTAATAAGGAGTGCCAGAGAAAAGCAATAATAACAATGAAAAATTGCAATGTGAGCTCTGGTAAAAATCATAAAATGATAATAGCGAAAATTGCAATATGAACACTGGTAAAAATGGTTGCTGAAGACATTAAGTCTCAGAAATTCATACACAGATGTCCTTAAGGACACATGTCACAGTGGATAAAGGTGTTGGTGAGATCCCAAAGAGTTGTGAGTTCAATACCTGCTTAAGGCAGTGGAGAACTTGGAGAGGGGAATTAACAGGAGATAACTGATAACTGACATCCATTAGACATGGCATGTGGAACTAGAACAGTCTACCCCAGCGAGTGAAATAAAGGGTTCGGTTTGACATTCCAACCACCTGAAGAAGGTTTGGAGCTTATAATGGCCAAAATGTTGTGATAAATATGGCAACAAAGACAAGGACAATAGTCCGAATAATGTAAATAGTGTCCAGTAATTGTTATTGCTCTTTTCAGTATTGATGGGGGTTTCCTTCCTAACTCTTTGTTTGAAGTAGTGTGGAATGTCAACATCTTGATTGTGTCATTATTTCCTCTTCAAGTTACATGTGCTATCCATTTTAGTTATTGCTGTTGTTGAAAGTCCTCAAGTGATGCGGTTTTTGTTATTTGGTACAGTTCTTTGTGATTCACTGTAGTGTCACTCCATGAAGTTTGAATGTGGATGGTCACTGGTATGACCTACAGGCTTCACTCATTTAGGGTAATATTTAACCATTGATCTGAGAAAGCCGTTGTATGCAACTGACAGTTTAGATATTTCTGAATGAGTTTGGCACCATGTCAATATGAAAGTCTTGATCTGACAAGGCTATTTAAGAACAGGACTCAAGTTTTTAGGTTAATATTTTGGTTTTGTAGCCAAATTTCTCTATAATATAATTCTTCATAACAACAAAAATGTAAAGAAAGTCTTCGGTAGTTTAAATACATTTGAAATTATTCAGCACATGAAAACAAATGATAGTGCCTTGTGTTCTAAGATTCATTATATTGAAGCCTCCTAGAAAATGCTGTGATTTGTGGTAGATTAGAAGCACAAAGCTGTCATTAGTATAATAGAGGAGAGAAGAAACATCAGGTGTATTTCACTGGAATGCCAAGAACTGCAAGACTGATTGCTGGCAAAATTAGGAAATAATTCTGAGATCATAGTTCAGATAGAAAGGATTGTGATAACAACAGAAACATCCATTGGCATCAAAAGAAGAAGGAATTTTATATCAATGATAAAATTGAAATCTACATTGCAAGAGAGCAAAAACATGAATTGTTTTTAAAGTAGAATACACACATAGGTTGGTTGGCTGATTTTGTTTAGTGGAATATCAATACCTGTATGGGTTATTTTGTGCCAAAATCTAAATATTTTGAACACAATTTTATGGCTTCAACTAAATAAATACATTTTGAATATAACTGCATGCCTTCAACTATAGATAAAATGTATTGTTAGTAATTCTACTATAAAATGTATTGCTAGTCATTTTGCTTTAAAAATTTTAAAAATTGCTGGTCATTTATAAATATTTATTGTTGATAATGTTTCTATAAATAGTAATTTTAGAATAAAAATCAGGTCAGAACCAATAATATTGCAGATTCTTCTTTGGATTTTATGAAGAATCTATAAAAGGCAGGATGTGTGTGTGTGTGTGTGTGTGTGTGTGTGTGTGTGTGTAACGAATGCATGGCCGCAATTTTCGATGGATTTGCACCAAAATTTACATGCACATGCTCGAAGTTAGTGGGAAGGCCAAGACTGATGTTGCATTTCCCAACTCCCATCAATAGTGGAAATAATCGATTTTTTCATGCTTCTATGGTAGTTTTCATGTAGTTTGCAGCCATTTTGTACTGGCCAGAGTGAGAGCCTATAGCTGGCTGCCACAAATAGGCAGGAAGGTTCTATTGGCCAGCATGAGAGCCAACAGCTGAGTGACACGAATGTTAACTAGCATGCAAAAAAAATTGATAGCTGCATTTGTCACAAGTGAGAAAAATTTAAATCTGCATGGCACTTTACTCCAATTGGCTCATTCGCTTGCTTAAACTCAACGTTGATTCTGATTCTGCTGAACTGGGTTGGGTGTGAAAAAGTATTTGTTGTTAACATTCTTTTTTCATTCGGTTTTTCCAGTTATGAGTCCCTTTTTAAACCTGATCATTTTATGTTCATTTTGTTTAGTTCTTTTTTTTGTAACAGATTTAATGTTTAGTATAGAGCTTAGAAAAATTTGCAGTGTGAGATAGGCAAGAAGTAAGGCATGTAGCAACATCAACACAGCAAAGGGCACTCCTTTAAAGGCAAGGAAGGTCAAAAATATTTTAAGTCAAGTGATAGCGATTTTGTATGAGTCGTGTTTGATTTTTTTGAATCAAGCACGGGCAACGCCGGGCCATGCTGCTAGTCTGTAAATATACAGAAGGAAACCAGACTACATGTGGCAGCTATATTCAAAGCATAAATGAATGATAGATAAATATATAAGATGTGTATGGAAAGAAAAATTGTCTAGCATGACACAGTGAACCAACTTTCTTAGGAGTAGACCCAGTAATGGATTTAATATAGTAGTTCTATGTCAACTGAGATTGTTAGTCCAAGAAGGCACAATGAGTCACTCTGATGGAGGTTAGTATCAGCCATGTTGATTGGAGGCAGAAAAGAATCTTTCAGGTGATTATTAGAGAGAAGTTTTGTTTGGGAGGGACTAAAGTTAACAAGTGACTCTTTGCCCCAGTTAACAACAGACTGTCAGTCATTTTTTAGAACAGCTACCAGTTTGATTCATTTATTTATTTATAAATGAAAAAGAAATGCTTTTAATTTAATCAATTTTTTTACAGTTAAGTTCATAAGACTCAAAAGTCACTCATGATAGAGAGTTACTGAAAAATGTGTGTGGTATGAATGTGATGTAATGAATATGCATACACCTGGGTTCCCCCTCACAGTAATATAATTGGCTGATGTCAGCCATAAATACAGACTGATGTGGAGGACACCTATTGACGATGCCTATTGGCTATGCCTATAGTTCGCCTATTGCCTACGCCTATTGCCAACCACTACGACAAGGACCAGTCCATTACAGTTACCTGCTAGATTGTCCTACTCAGTTAAAGCAGTCCAAAACCACTTTGCTACTTCGAACAAATATATCCCTTTCCAGGACATATCAGAAGGTAAAAGTAAGTAAAATTTATGAGGATAAAGAGGATAGATAGCAGTTGACACTTGACTTGAAAAGAGTAAGATTGTAGTGTTCAGGGAAGTATCTATGTAGAAATTAACAGTTTTTGGTATGTGTGTGTGTGTGTGTGTGTGTGTGTGTGTGTTTATGTGTGTGTGTGTGTGTGTGTGTATACTCAACTGCTATTTAACTTTATTTTTTTTTTACGAAAGT